TCTCTCACATAAACATCTACTCTTTACTTTTCACTCTTTGCTCCCAAAATAGGGTCTACAGGAAGGACTAGCGCTCTTGCCTAGTGGCCTCCTGCCCGGCACTTGTCCGTCTGATTTGGAGAGAGTAGAGGCGAGATGAAACCAAGGCATTGGGGAGGAGGAGCTTTAGGAAAGGAGGCTTCCTGCATGAGCGTTGGCAGGTTTGTCTCTGAACGGAGAACATCAGGCCCTGATTTGGCAAATAAGGCCCATAGCACAACATCTGCCTTAAAAACTTGTGCTGGGTTTTCATAAACGTAGGAAGGGCTGGTGAGACGCTTACAGACTGAGGAATTAAGAAGAACAAAACAAAATCTCTAAGATTAATATTGAGATGTATTTTAAAGTCCTAGTAGCTCACTTTCAACAAAGCTCAAATTTTGACTTTGAATGAACACCCAGGGCTCGTCTTGGGCTTTCATTCCCCCCAACCCCCACCCCCAGCACAAACAGTAATTCAATGAAGTTATGAGAAGAGAAAATACTTTCTGCATTGTTTATTGAGGGCGAGATAACTTTATACATTAGGAACTGGTGCACTTAAATTATATAACAGGTAACCGTAAAAACTAGGGATCTCGTCAATAATACAACCTCATTATATTATTACAGTTACTGATATTTGGAAAATGATGTAAACAAAATTATGGATAAGTGATGCCAAAACAAAAGGCAATAAAATCTGGAAAACAGAAACAGCACATATATGTTAGCACATCAGCTATTGCAGAGTGACACACTGATCCAACCCCCGAATTTCAGTCAAGTCTGTAGTGCTGCGCAGAAGTAAGGGAGACGATGGTTCGGACCCAGGCGCGAACGAACGAGTCGGCGGAATCTTCAGCATTGCCATGCTCAGTGCTGTTCATCTGCAACCTCAGCATTTGCCCTCTTTTACCGTCCCTTAGGACAGATTTATTTTTTCTTCAATTTTCTGCAGTCGGCTGCTGGCCATTCACAATGAGATTCCGACAGAGAACCGCGATCAGAACCCGGGCCTCCAGCAGTGAGACCCTAATTTACCGACAGCTCCGAGGCCTGCCTGCACCACAGACTCGTTTTTATCGCAATTTATCAAGAGGCTTTCCACTTCCCACTTGGAAAACGGGCAGCAAAATAAAAAGAAAACCTTTATATAATGAAAGAAAAAAATCCTCATGTTTATGTAATTTCTTAATCTGAGAAAGGCTAAATTCATTGACTTCACAGATTGAGATCTGGATAACGGGTTGAATTGCTCTGCCCATTGGCCTTGGTGACATCATGACATTCCCCTGAGTTTGGTTAATGAGAGTAAGCAGGCAAACCAACAGAGAGAGTGATGTAAGAAACAGCATACAACAGGATGTGGTTTGCATCTTCTGTGTTTCCTGGTAAGTGTCAGCGGAGCTAGGAAGCCAACGTCCGCCGTCCAGGACGTGTTCCCCCAGGAGTCCCGTTCGCGCAGGAGCTAAGGCACCAGTTAGCGGACTGAGGTCGGGCGCGCGGAACGTGCGCTCCGGCGGCCGTGGCGGAGCAGCCAGCAGGGCAGAAGCGGAATGATCCGTGTTTAGCGAAGCGTCTCGCAGGCTTCGAGTGGGTCCGATGGGCTACAAGCACTAGGCGGTACTATAAGGCACTCCTACGGGGACACAATGGGCTGGCAGTGTGGAGGAGGAGCCACGGGCCCCAGTTGTCCACCAGCCGGGGTACTGGCCACCAGGCCCCAGTCTGGAGCAGGGCCCAGGACTGGGGCAGGGCGGTCAAGGGAAGGGGAGGGCGCTGGTCTGCGGCCATCGGAGGGAAGCTTCCCTGTGCTGAGCTGCCGTGGCCCTGATCGCCTACCTCGCGACCACGGGCTTCGCTCCAGACCTTTCTAACAAGGTGGCGTCTCTTTCCAAAGCAGAAGGGCAGTAGTCTCCTCTCTCGAGTTTAATGGGGTTTTAGCAGTGCCTTCCATCACACCGGAGGGCACTTCATGAGCAAAGTGCCACCTAACGTGGTCATTTGGAAGCTAATTTAAATTAAAGACCCCTGACCACTACAGGTGTGCTGAGGGGGGTGTGCCACACTTCTCTGTTGACTTTAGCCTAGAGTTTAAGGACGACTTGGATTTTACCTGCTAAAGTAAAATCGCACCCCACACACTAACCCCCTCAAGTTACAGATTGTTGAATACAATGAAATTAGCGTTATTTACCAACACGACGGCTGCTGGGTGCTGGGCTTAATTGTCCAAACACTGCCCCACAGGAGGGCAACCGCCAGCTGTCGTTACTGGCAGGGCTTGTTCACCCCCACGGTCCGACCAGGCGCAGTCCGCTCCGCTGGACTCGGGGAGGGCATGGTCCGAGGTGCACTCACCAAGCCCCCCATGCCCGGTGGTTAACAGGTACCAAGGAAAGAAAACCAGATTCGCACCAAGGAGGGAGGTGATCGTTCCTTTCAGTCTTGCCCCCAATTCTCTACTTTTTCACATTATCTTATAGTAAGAAAAGTAGTGAGATGGAAAACTCAAGAAATAAAGGGGGAAATTGCATGTATCTCTCTTTACCAGGAGAAGTAAAAATATCAAATAAAGTAGCCTTTGTGTTGACTCCAGGCGGTATTAGACTCAGGAGTTGGAGGTTTACTGCACGATCCAGTTATTTCAGTTAGTTCGGCGGCTCCGAGGGGACGGGCAGCTCTGCCCAGACACACGAGCAGCAGCGGCTTCACCCGAAGCGAGGCAGATGTGCTGGGCGTCCTCAGACAAGGCTCTGCGGAGCTCAGTGCGGCATCACAGGTCCCGCCCTGGCACCGTGATTCACACAGGGCCTTTTGAAGGAGGCATGGGAAGAAACTCCACTGTCAATGTTCAGGCTGTACATACCCAGAGACAAAAAAAGAGAGGCCAGTCCGCCTTCAAGGGACTCCCTCCAGCCCAGCACAGGCTGCTTACCACAGCTAGTGATGTAAACACCTGGCTCTCACCGCAGCGGGAGGTCAGGGCACGGTCCCTGCGCGGAGTCTGAAGGATGCCGCGGGTTGGTTGGGAGCCACAAATCCCAAGTGCTAGCACTATGCCCTTCTGGAGCCTGGTGTAGAACCATCGAGGAGTATCACCCTCTCAGCGAATCAAATGTGACAGCTCCTGAAGGATTAGCCTTCAGCACAACAGACACGAAGATGCCTGTACCACAGTCCCCCAAAAGGCATGAAGCAAGCGGGGAAGACGAGTGTTTACACGGTTCTCACATAAAGAGGCTTTGAAATGTGGGAGAAAGCAGCCCTGGAAAGAACACGCGTTGCATTCCAGTTGACTGCTTGTTCAGTCCTCTGCGGCCTTCCTGCAGCGGTGCAGAGTGAGGTCTATTTTGGGAACTGGCTTCTTTACTGCAGGGTTGGGTGCCAGCGTTTCACCAGGGCTGGCCGGCCTCACACATGCGTTTCTGGCGCCGCGGGCGGGAGTTCCTCCCGTGATACACCAGGGATGGGCCTTTCAAGCGAAAAGAGGTTCCCCCGAGCCGGCTGCCAGCTCTGGGAGATTAATTGGCCATCTTCTCGTGGGCTTTATAAGCAAGCTGTTTCATATGGGATGAAAAACGGAGCATGAGGGAAAGCAGGTACCGGCTGGTCTCAGGGAGGTGGTAATCCGCAGAAAGGCTTTTGTTTCGACAGTTCCTAAGCACTGGAACGATGACCTAACCGCACACCAAGGAATCTGCTCAAGTTGAAACCGGGAAGGGCATTCCTGTGCTCTAAGGCATTCTGGGCTGGAAACAGCAATTCTGCCTGTTCACGGCAGCCTCAGCCGCTCAGCCACGCCGCCTGTCCTATCGCCGCCTGTCCTATCCGAGTTTGGTGGCGGCGGCTGCAAGCGTCGCGAGGGCCTGCGGCTGGCACTGACCCGGCGGTCAGAAATGTGGAGAAAGGAGAGAAAACAGAAGCCGCTGGGATGCAGTGCCAGTTCTGAGTACCGAGGTGATAGCACATCTATTTTTTTCCCTTTTGAAAATAAGCAGAAAATGATGTGAGTGGAAAGCTCTCCTCAGAAGTTCACAGGGCTGCAGACATTTAGCAGGGCCCTCGGAGCGGGCCTGGTGACAACAAAGGCCTTCAGAACAGGCACCCAGAATTTCACCCTGACTCAAGGCAGGTCTGACCCTGGGTGCCTGGGAGGTGGGACAGGAAATTCTGTCCACAGAGCAAACACACCAAGGGGAGGAGACGGCCCTGCACCGGGTCTGCACACGCAGTGTGCTGGGGACAGCCTCGCTGACAGCTGGGATCACAGATACATTAATTACAGCGAAGGCAGAAGTAAGCTACAGTGACAGGGAGTGGGGTGAGGGAAAAGGCACTTTGCCATGGGAGCACATCTGTTTTATAATAAGCAGGTCCATAATTCTCTTGTGAAAGATCCTGTTCTGCTATCTTCTTTGAGGCTAAAAAATATAAATACTGTATTTCACAAAGGGGAGGAGGGAAGAGGAGATGATCGAATTTGTTTGCCTGTTTGCCAAGCGCTTGTTTGAGATTTTCCACCCTTTTTCTTCTGCGTGCAACGTTCTCTCTGACTGCAGCGGGGGAGAGTCAACCTGTTTGTCCAGGCGTGAAAGGCACCATGAGGCGTCTGGTGAACGGGCCCAGCCTCTTCACAAGTCTTCATGCCTTCGATACAGCTGCTGTATAATCAGAAAAGAAATGCGTGCGTGGTGCTGAGCTAGTAAGTGAAATGTGTGGTCTCGGGCCAAAGGAACTGGCACGGGTCAGAGGCCAAATGCTCACACCCGACCGTCTGCACAAAAGTCCGGCTGAAACATCGTGTCTGTCAATGGACAGAAGCATCGCGAGGTGGGACCTGGAGGGGGCGTCGTGGGGAGGACAGCACCGTGGCTAAGTGCATGTTTCACCCAGAGCTCACTTTCTGTTCTGGGAAGAGAGGGTGGAAGTGGGGGTGGGGAGCCCCTCCACCATCCCTGTGCCCGGGGTCCTGGAAGGCAAGCAGCGGGGAGCATGGCCCGGCCGAGCAATTTGTTCTAGTTCTCCTTCCTGTGATTTCATTTTAGCGTTTTGTTTTACCTTAAGGTGGCAAGTGTATCTATTTATTTAAACAATATTAGATTTCATTCATTAATTACACTGGTAAGTTAGGTATTTTCTTAATAGCCTCTCATTGGTATTTTGAAGTTCCCGGTTACTCTAAATGTTTGTTTTAAAGATTCAAAAAATATGAAAGTAGAAGAGGTTGACAAACGTCAGAATGAAAGCGCAACGAGGACCGAGGAGAAATCAAGCGTTTACTCGGAGAGGTAGGAAGTGCGTGGTGGGCGCCGTCCTGCGAAGGAACCGAAGACCGGCTGCTGGGAGCCTGCTCCACCTGGACCAGTCTGCAGCCGTCCAGTCTGCAGCCGATGAGCTGAACAAACAACCACCCCCGGAAATGCCCTCAGGCCAGCTCCATTCACAGATCAGAAACGTCACCCATGGAGCCCCCAGAAACTCCCAGGAGAGCCGCATTCACAACCAGGTGGAGGTGGGGTTCGAACCAGCAGCCCATCGACACCATGCAGTCACTGGTAGCAGAGTTCCTTCTTTTTCAAGAAAAAGACTTTCCTGACATGGACCAGAACTCGTTCTCCTGATACATGAGGGGTGCATGCTTTCTGTCAGGGGAGCTGCACTCCTGATTTCCAGGCCACTCAGCTCAGCTTAGGGGATCCCCGCCTCTGAGGAGGAAACCGGGGTGAGAGCCAGGGACTCTGGGTCCTGGAAGGACCCACCCGTTATTCCTGTGTTTTGAAGATTTTCTTAGAAACAGATGGTGGTGGGTGCTTGCCTCAGTTACCTCATTGACTATGAAGGCTAAAAATAAAGAACCCCGACCTAACCCAAAGGCTGTCGTTCATTGGAAATGCTTCCTCCTGTGTCCTGTGTAATAAAATGGCCCCCGAGAGCCAAAAAAGAAAAGACAAATTTCTGAAGCATGAAGCATTGTATGTAAACCACGTTTTGCTTGGGAGCAAGCAGCTGAAATTCATGGCTAAGTGTAATTCGGCGACTGGTAGTTTTTTGAGCTACAGAGGCTCCATGGACCTTTCAGACACTGACTTATACAGAACATACGTACAGGTATGTGTGAGTACATATAAATATATACCTATATCTAGCTGAAGATGAGACATACTCTCCTTCCCGAGGGATCTAACTGGCCTGCTAGGAAGCCGCTGGGGCTGTGGATCACTGAGAGGTCAGTGCTGGGCCTTGGGCTCCTGCCCAGTCAGGTGTTCTGGTAGGACAGCTCAAACATGTTGCAAGCCTCCTCCAGGCTCTCGTCCACGTTCAGCCTCCGCCAGAAAGACTTCTGTTTCTTCTGCAGCTCCCGGCGGACACACCTCGGGCAGGGGACAGACTTTTCTTTGCACTCGGAATGGAAAACAGCGCCACAGCATTCACACCTGTAAAAGCCAACCAGGGATATGATGAGCAAGGTAGACATGAGCTAGACAGATGCCTGACGTCCTGTGGCCTCTGCCGCTTGGGACACAACACTTGATTCCGGATAGCCCTGCGACAGGGAAGAGAAATGACTCATAGAAATGAGCGCTTCCGTTCTCCAAATGTTCAAGGTCGAGTTGCACTTGAAAAAAAATGTGTGTGTGTGTGTGTGATGAGGACTAGCTGGGGAAGAGGCTTTGGCTCACTGGTGGAATGGAGCCAGCAGTCAGCTAGCAACTCTGTGACCCTGGAGACGATGGACAGAGCCCGAGAGCTGTGTTAGTTTCCTGTCCCTGGAGAGAGGGTGTTAGTAACTCGGGCAAAGTGACAGAGAACAAGGGTGAAGGGCCTCCGCAACTGAAAACGCTCCGACCCTGGTGACAACCCCAGTTCCAGCCATGAAAACACCGCTGTCCACTCCAGTTAACATGAGCTAAGTGGTTCCCCACCAACTCCCGCCTTTATTTGACAGCGTGGGGAGGTAAAAGGACACATTTTCATTATTGAGTGCTATCCTGGGGTCTGCTGCTGTTCTGAGGTTTTTTGAAATTAGGACCCCCCCCCCCCTTAATTCTACAGTGGTAAAACAAGCGGGAACAGTAAAGCATGAGTGCGAGGGAGAAAACCTGGCTTTCTCAAACAGCACACAGATACTATCATCTGTAAGAGGAGACATTCCAGGTGGATGACTAGTGTGTTGTTTGGCTTGGTGGTGGAAACCTGTACAGGAGTCTGAACGGCTTGTTTTTACTGCAGAGTCTTTAATAATGAGTAACTGACAAGCACAACTATAGCTGCTTCAGTGGGTGGCTTGCCAACGTGGATTAATTTCTCATCCTTCCACACATGAGCGACAAGCCACCATTACCTTGCCCCTGGAGCCCAGGGAGCTGGGCCCGCGTGATTCTGTTCCGCAGCACCAGGGAGGGGCCAGCACTGGACCAGGTACAAAGCCTGCTGCGACTACAAAGGGTCCTCACGGCTCAGCCGAACGCTTCTGTTCCCAGAGTGTCCTGAGCTTTGTTCCTGGGCTCAGCAGGGTCTTTGGAGCTCCAGTCCCTAACCCCTGGCACCAATCAGGATTCAGAAAGTTTTGTCAGAGGAGGGTCTTGCTAGCCACGTTGGCACCCAGGAGAGAAAAGTGACTTGCAGAGGGAGGCTGGACAGGGTTAGGGTGAGCGACAGAAATAGGCCCCGTGGCTCCCAATGGTCTCGGCCCAGCTCGGCTCCCTGCCCCAGCCGCACGAGGTTAGGAGAGGAGGTGATGAGAGAGAAGGCCGACTCCAAACCCACCGTTAGGGCACTTTCTGGCTGCTATGGACTGAATGTGCCGCCGCACCCCCATTCCTACATGGAAGCCCTAACCCTCCGTGTCACTGCACTCGGAGATAGGGCCTTTAGGAATAATTATGGTCGAACAAGTCATAAGGGTGGGCCCTGATCGGATAGGACTAGTGTCCTCACAGGAAGGGGACAGGAGCTCGGTGGGGAGGTGCAGGAGGACCTCAACACGTAAGGTGGCCATGGACAACCCTAAAGACAGCTCCGCCAGGCCAGCCCTGGCCTGGGACTCCCAGCTTCAGCTGAGAGGAACAATACCTTGGGAAGCCACCCACTCAGTGGTATTGTGTACACAGCCTGAGCGGACTAGGACAACGACCTTGAGCTAGTTATTTCCCCTCTCAAGCTTCACTCAGTGTCCCTATCTGATAGGCACAGTTCCCAGGATCAGTACCTTAAGGAGGTGTTGGGAGGCTCTAAGGAGATAAGGAAGAAAGCATTCAGCACAGTTCCTGGCACAAAGTAAGTGCTTAACCCAGCAAAGACTCTCCCTTCCTGTAAGCAGCTGCCCTCCTGCGAGTCTTCATTTCAACCTGACTGCATCTGTGTCACAGCCATGGTGACCTGAGGACATCCTGATCAACTCCCTGATTTCCCAGAGAAGATAACTAAGATTCTGAGCCGACAGTGATTAGCTCCTGGGGACCGGAGTTGAAGAGCGTTGTGACTGGGACCCAGGACTGCTGGCAGCTCAGCCCGCCCGTCTGAGAGCCGTGTGCCGTGGGCAGGGAGAGGCAGGGCTCTGAGTCAGAATACTTGTGTACAATCAGAGATCGTTCTTCGAGGGACCCGAGCGAGTGATTTGCTCCCTTGGTGCTCTGGCTTTCTCCTTTGTAAAAGGCACCTCCTTCCCACTCACTGCTCTGCAAGACTAGAGTGGGGAGTGCGAGGACAGCCGTTCACATGGCAAGGGCTCTAAGGAACGCAGCGGACACCACCTCTGGTGACTCGGCCACTGGTGCTATGCTAACAGGACAGCATCTCTGCCCCCAGCCCCTCCCTCTTCCCAGTGGAGATGAAGGTCAGGCCCAGGTCTGCCTAGAGCCTCCCTTGTCTGGGCCAGCTCCTCCCCAGTGGCAGTGGCTTTGTCCGGGTTAGGTCATACCTCTGAGTGACCTCCTATCAGTGAAGTGACACTAATGGTAGCTTTATCAAATAAATTTCCTCCTTCCTGCCCCCTTTGCCCTGCTGAGTTAGTCAGCGATTTATACACAGAGGGGTGTTGCCCTGGGGCAGTGATTGATAAGGAGGAAACTGCTGGGTTCCTTCAGTGCCACTCCCTTATCTCTGCTGATACCAGTTCCCCGCCCCCACCCCGCCAGGTTGTCTTATCGAACGTTTGTGGGCAGCAAACACCCACTGGTGATGGAGGGACCGAGCACACCTGCTCTCTCTAGCCAAAGGTCAGTAACTGCAAAAGTGAGATAAAAAATTAATGATTTCAAAATAGAACCAAGTCCTATTTTCTAACAATTTGTAACCCAGCAGGCATCGTTTGAACTGTATAATGGAGAGACTGATCAATGACCTTCCAAAATTCAGAGACTCTATTGTTAATTTTCCCCCTGATTTTTTTCTTTAAAGGAGAAGAATAAGGGCAGGAAAAGAAAGAAGAGACGCTGTTTGCTTACATCAATTTTATGGAGCTCTGTAATAAAAATGTAATAGACAGGAAAAATAAAGTATTTATATTAAAAATGCAATACACAGGTGTGCTCCTCTTTGAGAACAGGACTTTATTAAAAAGGATCTTTCACTTTAAGAAGCCACTGGCTCCTTAGTATTTACTGAATGTCCTGACTATATTTAAAATATGATTTAACAAATGCAACTTTTCAGGAACGTGTCTTTTATATAAGGCAAATCTACCAGTGTAATCATCTGTGCAGAAAATTGCCACAGATAATGAAAGAGAAATGTCCCTTCGGTGTTCCTGAGTGATAAATCAAAGGCAGCCAGCACCTTCGCTCTGAGTCATCCAGTCCCAGCCTTCAGCTGTTCCCTTGCTGTCGCTTGTTGCTGTATTGCACAGAGAACAAAGACCCACGTCCTTCCTTCCCAGGGCCACAGAGAATGCCACTGCGGGGAGACATACTGGCTGTGGATCACAGCCACTCGATGGGATTTTCCTAAAAGCATCCATTGCTTCACTCAGTCCAGGCATCTCAACCTCAGCACTGTTGACATTTTGGGCCGAATAGTTCTTTGTCGTGGGACACTGCCCTGTGCATCGTGGGATGTTCAGCAGCATCCTTGGCCTCTACCCACTGGATGTCAGTGCCACCCCTCCTCCATTCTCCCCGTTTGTGACAACCAACAATGTCTCCAGACACTACCAAATGTCCAAATGTCCCCTGGGGTGGACTTGGGTGGAGTCATCCCAGCTGAGAACCACTGACCTAATCTGTTTGGAGAAGGTATCCCAGAGGAGGTACCAGAGGGTAAAAGAGCCCCCCCCCCCCCCGCCCCAGACTTGTACTAATCAGTAAGGTCCAGTGTAGTATACTTCTTCACATAACTTTCACAAATATATATTTTTAATACATCATTTGATTAAAATAGCTGAAACTCACTAGTGGTTTCATCCTGTGGTTTCTAAAGTAATTTGGAAAATCATTTCAGAAGTCAGTACCATGACACAATTCTCCTAATACTGACCTTTAACATTCTATGAACTCGCTCTGATTCTTCGGCCCTCCACAAAAGCCATCTTGGTGGCTGGCCCCCAGTCGCATTTATTTGCTCTTTGGCCCAGAACCTTTGGGTGGTTTCTCTGTGGTATCCTTTGCTTCTTCAGGCCCTGTCTGGGCCATCTAGTGAATCAAACCCCAAAACTTCTGTATTTGCTTCGTAAAATAACTTGCTTTTATGTAACCGGAGCAGTTAGGCGTCAGCAGCTACTATAGTGAAGAGGAGACCAGTAAATATCAACGAGGCCAGTTACTGCGGTGGGGAGAGCCTGACTAGGTGAGGAACCCACAGTTCTTGGCTTAGGTTGGCCCTGGAGTCACTGGGATCTTGGGTAACTTCTTTATCTCAGAATCTCGCTCTCCACAAAAATAAGAGAAGTATCCAAGGCTCCTTCTAACTGGTCGATTTGGTGCAGGAAGGGAACAGGCTACTCTGGGGTTTGCCCTCCTCTTTCCCAATTTCCTTGCCCCACAGTCTGTGGATGAATGAATGGGAATGTAGCCCTGCTGGTCACTCCAGGGAAAACCCCAAACTGACAAGCTGGGACTGGATGAGATGAACCTTAAGGTGAAAAGCATTACTTTAAATTTTATTTACTTGCATTGATTAAGCAAAAGTTATGGAATGGTTTATATGAATTAGTACATGCGGCTCTATCAGAAATTTGGCTAAAGGAGCTGACTCTGCCCCTATCTCATAAAGTTACAATTAAATATTAAGGATTTCTTTCTAAGCCTTTCCCACCCTCATCAGCACCAACTCTCTCCAAGGAAGGGGGGGGGGGGGACTAGGGCTTTTATTTGAGGGTGAGGGGTGGGAGCCGGTCAGAGGCACAGTCATTCACCACCCTCGATGGAAGTGTTTTTGTTTTCCCCATCAGGACGGCCACACTGGTGTGAACCAGGTGCGTGTCTGCAATGGATACACC